TTATGAAGGCATATACAGTTTCTAGGAAAAGTCATCTGAGAAGCATAAGTATGGTCCATATGGGCAGCTGACTGGAAGGACATTGCACAGGATTGTGACCTGCTGCAAAAGTGACTGCAGAGCTCAATCTTGGACTGTTAGGAAAACTGCAATGTGTTTGAAACGCATTCACTTTTATAGTGTAAAAGTTTCAAACCTGGTGCTAAAATTGAACCACTGATAGCTTAGGCTCAGGTGGGTGACCAGGTGTTACGTCATACTACAGATCGTACACTTTACCCCCACTTTTGCCTAGAACCCAATATATGGTACTCAGGCACTTCTTCCCACCCTTTTGCCACAAGTACTTGGCTACAGACCAGTCTGCACACGGGATGCAGCATACTCCTTCTCAGACATGATTTCCCCATCTCCTCGCCTTACTCTGAGTACTCCACAGGGAAATACCCTCACATGTAGCAATGATGGGAGCTACAGCAAAAGCTCAGGTGAACATCTGCTTTCTGAAGGCCTGCACTAGAGCGGAGCCCTATTTTGACACCAGTCTCTGCATCCAATTCTAACTCTATTTCAGGCATGCTACAAGCAGCCTACCTGACTAAGGCAGACTTTTCTGCAACTATATCACAATTTCTTGGACCACTAACAGCTTTAATACGGCGATTGTTGTCCAGGGCTCAAAAACCCCTGGCTCCTTGTCTAGCTCCGATGTTTCTATCTGAGTTGGATCCCGATATGCCTGCCCTAGAAGAGACTGACATGGAAGGGAATGAAGGGGACCTAGAGGTGGTTGGTGGAGGAGGCTGCAAAAGATTTCTCACTCCCAGACTCCTATACAGCTCGTATTGCGGCTTCATAAAATATGCTTGCCAATGTGGATATGCTATGCTCACATCAGCTGTGTGCAAAAGCCTCAGCATTGTCGCACTTGGATCTCCCCCAATTCGCCATACCCTTTGGGTGCAAAAAGACCTCCAAATCCAAAAATACATTTCCCATTCATGAACAGATAGAATGGACAATCTAGGGCGATTGAGTAAACCCAGAAAAGTTTCACCCCTCCGCAAATCATTGCTGAGCTCTGTCAAGCGAAAAAATAGTTCATAAAAAAGTTGACTGTTTTGGTAGATGACCTTGCCTTTTACAGTCTTAAACATCTTACTGTATCAGTTGAGGATGTTTCTTCATTTAATGATTGTGCTGATAGAGAGTTTCAGATGCTGTTAGTCTCTTTACTCCTGAAATATCGGCTCTGCAACCAGCTACTGCTCTAGTTTCTGTCTGCCAAATGGTAGCTAATTAGACTAGAGAAATGAACAATCAACACAATCCTGTATTCCAGGACCATATTTTAATTGAGCAGTTACAGCAATTACCCTCTGCCTTGCTTTTTTTTTTTTTTTTGTGTTGATGTCCCAAAGCATTTTATGGCACATATCTCCAGAATTGCTCTGATTTCTGTTCTCATGTGCAGAATCTTGTGGCTTAAGGCACGGTCAGCTAAAGCTGTAAAAGACACCTCACTCATATGCCCTTTGATGCTGACTTCCATTTGCTTTTCTCTGGGATATAAACTTCCTAGACCTGTAAGTTCAAACTGTGGTTTCAAAGGGATAAAAAATAGAGTTCCAGAATATGCCCCCTCAACGTTCTCTTCTTTCAAACTAACCAAAATCTTCTCAAGGATAGTCAGATTTGTGGGATGCCCTGAATCGTCTCTTGTCCCAGGGAGTAGTTGTTCCAGTACCTCTATAGGGCAGGTTCAAAGGATTCTATTCAAATCTGTTTATAGTACTAAAACACAACGGTGGTATTCATCCTGTTCTGGATCTAAAATCCCTAAACTGATACCTTCAAATTTCTAAATTTTCCAATGGAATTTGTAAGGTCAGTTATTGCCTTTCTGAGACAAGGGGAATACCTGGCATCTGTAGACATCCAAGGTGCCGATCTGCATATTCTCATTTATCTACTTCATTATCCTCATCAGTGCTTTCTGCACTTTGCAGTACAACTAGTTTGTCACACTGCCTGTTCGCCTATTCTCTGCTCCCAGGATATTCACAAATGTCCTTGCACCTCTACTTGCCCTTCTAAGAACTTTTCTGTTTCTCTGTTGAAGCCCTTCTTTGCCCTGTTTAAACACAGCTAAACATAGGCACTTCAGTCCCAGAGATTACTCTGCAGCTTGCATTCAGGCCTTCCTACAATCAGGACTTAACCAGAAATTGGCCTTAAAGCGGAGCTCCAGTTTCTGGTAAAAGTCAGCAGCTACAGTTTCAAGAGTAGCGCTGCGCATTGTGAATCGTCCTTCAGTCTTCTGGGACCTGTCACATGTCCATGAAGACTATGGGGGGGGCGTGGAGATCTTCTGATCACCTCTACAGTCGGAGCGGGTACCTGTCAAAATCAAATACCCGCTCCCCAAAGGTTCAAACCCCTATCTGGGAGCGAGAGACGAGTTATTAAAGTGGAACTTCCCCTTTTGGGTGGAGCTCTGCTTTAAGTACCGTATTTTCCGGCGTATAAGGCGACTGGGTGTATAAGACGACCCCCTAATTTTCCAGTTAAAAACATAGGTTTTGGGCTGTACTCACCGTATAAGACTACCCCCCTTCCAAGGCAACACCATTAAAAAACATCAGATTTTTTAATTGAAATGGTTATGACTTACCAGTACTTAAAATCCTTCAAAATCCTCATGTTCATCCTCTGACATAAGTTCATGAATGACATCTTGTGATACATTTGTAAGACAGTCATCATATGGATCAAATTCCAAATCAGATGGTTACCGCTGGATGTGGATGTGGATAGCTTCGGCTACATACAGTATATATACAGCCCGCTGGATGTGCAGTAATGTACATACAGTATACCGTGCTGAGCCAAGCTGGCTCAAAACAAATGTTCCTATGACAGATTAATCTGTCAGCCCGTTGGATGTGTGGTATATACAGTATACTGAGCAAAGCTGTTTCAAAATGTACCAGTACGTCCCTACTTTAATCAGCCCGCTGGATGCGTATATGTACGGTAGCTGCAGCTACATACAGTATACACTGGGCCAATCACGGCAAGTGATGTATTCTACTAATGAATACAAAGCCTGCTCGGATCGGCTGAGGTTGTGACATCATCAGCCCACCTCTCTGACTCAGCCAATCTGAGCAGGCTTTGTATTCATTAGTAGAATACATCACTTGCCGTGATTGGCCCAGTGTATACTGTATGTAGCTGCAGCTACTGTACATACACGCATCCAGCGGGCTGATTACAGTAGGGACATACCGGTACGTTTTGAAACCGCTTGGCTCAGCGCAGTATACTGTATGTACAGTATTGCCACACATCCAGCCAGCTTGACCCAAACAAACTCAAGGCTCACATTTTATACCCCGCGTATAAGACGACCCCCAATTTTTGGGGTATATTTTTAAGTATAAAAAGTAGTCTTATACGCCAGAAAATACTCTACTCTGAAAAGACGGGTTTCAGCCCTGTACATTCTATTTATTTATTTTTTTAAACTTCTGGCCTCGCTCTCCTTTTTTTTTAAAAACATTTAAAAACAAGGTGTATCGCCAATCATGTCTCCCTTGCAGCACCCTGTTCTTTCTTGGGATTTAAGGGACATTCACAAAACAAAAATAAAATGAATTTACTTGATTTGTGCAGCCATATTGCACAGTAATATTGATTTCCTCCTTTTTCTTGCTGTACCTGTAGGCGCCTTCCATCCTTCAGGTGTCTGTGTACTCTAGCAAGCTGGGTGCTGCTAGGGAGGCACCTGTGCATATGCGCTCCCATTGGGTCTTCTGCCAAGCTGTGTGTGACACACACACACACCAGTGACAAGTCACACCCCTGCTTCCTCCCCACAGGAGTTAAAAGCCAGAAAAATGTTTAGGGATGGTGGGGGATAGGAAAAGTTAGTGAGGCCTTTTTTTTACCTTAAGCAGAGAATGCATTATGGTAAAAACATTTCAACTTTACTACTACTTTTATCTGGTTCTCTCTGCTCTGCAGAAACTACCCTTAGAGCCCATCAGGGAAATCCCCTTGGATAATCTATCTGTAAAGTAGCCTTCTGGGTGCCTCACGTCTGTCAGATATGTCTCTGAGGTAGCGAACCTCTCTTGTAAGAATTCCTTCCTCATTCTTTACAAGGACAAGGCAGTCTTGTGCCCAAGACCGCCCAAGGTAGTATAGGTCTTCCATGTCCCTGAAGACATAGCCCTTCCCTCTTTGTGCCCTGCTTCAGAGCACGCAAAGGAAATTGCTCTTCACTACCTAGACATGGTCAGATCCATCAGAGTCGATGGCCCTGATAGAAGCTACAGCTTCTATCAGAAAGGATTGCTATTCAGAACCTTGCAAGGGACATCTTCGCTTCAAAATCCACCATTGTCAGATGGATAGGACAACTGATTGTCAGAGCTTACACTCTAAATGACAAGGCTGCTCCTGCACCTTTACCTGCTCACTCCACCAGATCAGTGGGGGTTTCCTGGGCATTTCAACATAACGCCTCTGTTGCTCAGCTTTGTAAGTAATTCATTGACAGGCAACAAGTTCTCTTTATGGAGACATCAAGGTTTGCTTTTAATGTCTTCCCTGCAGTCCTCCACTTTAGACGTTCAAGCACACATCATAGTACCATAGAAGTGATTGAATCACCTTTGCTTGATAGCTGGGAGCTAACTGAAGAAAATGGTAAGAAGCTCACGATTTTTGCAGACCCTTGTTTACCAGGACCCATTTATAAACGTACCTTGGTAGACGAGGCGTTAAGGAACGTACTGTAATCTATCATTCAGTTTTATCCTTGATACATGTCTACTCTATTGACTGGAGCCTTCTGTGTCCTCAGCAACCCATCCCCATGGAAATATAAAAGAGAACAGAGAAGGATGCTTTTTGTGGATTTGTGAAGTTTTGTTTCAAGTGAAAAAAAATTATTGCAAATTGTGTGTTTGACTCCTGCCTCTGTTTTTCAGATCTTTGCTCTTCAGGCGGAGGCTCACAGACTAAGAAAAGAAGGTGACGATGGCCCCATAGTGCATCACAAGCTGCCTCACTATGTCTCCAACATGGATCGGCTGGGGGACTCTGAGCTGTAAGTGAAGTACAGGAGAGATGTAGGTTTAGTTGCACATTCATTTTATTCAACTAGTATAGTGCTGAGTAATCCGTACTTAACAGGACAGGACATTTACAGTGTTATGTCACTAATACAGATGCAAAGAACTAAACCCTAGACACCAGTGCTACATCACAGGAAGCTCCAGATGCTTCATAAAGATTTGGTCTATTTTTTTTGTCTTAGTAACATGGTATCAAGTCAAAGGAATGCCGGATCAACAGTCCAGTCACAAAGGTCCTCTGGTTTCCTCTCCTCCTTGCTCCCACAGAGTAAAAAAGCTGTGCCTTCCAGGCCTCCGCCAGCCTCCATATCCTCACCGACGCAGAGTTCCACTGCTCTCCCACTCAAGAAGGAGCCAGTAAACAATCAGGTAAGATCATGGATATAAATTCTGCTTTTCCAGCTATTTGAGAACCCTAATGTTTTCAAGAGACTCAGGCAGAGCAAAAAGGAAGGAATAGACTAAGGCATCCTACAGTCACCAGTTAAAGTAGAACTTCGCTCTTGACTTTCAACATTATTTTGAACCCTTATGCTGCCAGAATTAGTAAATGGATAGAAAAATATATCATATTTACTTGTGTTAAACTATTTTTTTACATTTCTTTAGTCACTTCCTTGTTTCCATGCTTAGGCAAAGGATGTTCAGGAGGGTTTTTTCTCATCTAAGCATACCCTTCTGCCTGTATGCCTGAACTAAGTGCAGATGGATTCCAGGAAGTAATTGCTATTTGAATCATTTGCCTTACTCATGATGGCCATGGCCAGAAATGCTGTGAGGCAGGGGCTCTCAAAGTGATTTCTCAGCAAAATAAAGCATGGAGACATGGACAGATGGGGGAGTTTGCTTTGAATATTACAAAATGAATTAAATTGCGTTTTTGGTTGGTTGTGCTCTGATGCAGTGTAGTTTCTCTTTAAAATTTACTATAAAATTGCATGGTTAGTGTTGAATGCTCCTGTATGCATTGACATACCTCTTTGGACCCAGTCTACACGACAGTATTTTTACCTGCTAGCTTGGCACCATCCACAGGAAGCTCAACTCTCCATTAAGACACAGAAGTTGAACACGTCTTTACTTCAGCTAGTTGCAGCTCAGGATGTTTTTTGAATCTTCCAGTAAGAAGGCAGTTGCTTTCCCAAGCCCTGTCTCTTCCAAAAACAAACCCTGACCGAGGCAACATGGAAGAAAGTGGGAAGGGTCTAGCTAGGACTGGACTAACTAGCACTAAACAGGAGGTATGACAGTGGGAGATACCAAACAAATAAGTAAACACGTTTTAGTGGCTCTAAACTGCCACTAGATGTCAGCATATTTTTTCTCTCTCTCTCTCTTTTTCTCGGTATTCTGTCAACTGATCAGTATTTAATAATGATGCTTCTCTTTCTTCAAGGCCCAAAAAACTAAAGAGGTGCTTAGTCTACCCAAGGAGGTGAAGAGCGTGCAGAGTGTTCTTGGTGTGCCCAGCGCCAGCGATCCGACTGCTTTGCAGCAGAGACAGCGACGGCTGCAGGAGAGGAAAGAGCTTCTCTCTAAGACACCTTCTCAGGTGAGGTAGAGGTAATCTTTACTTGACTCTTTAGTGGCTGATATTCCGGTCTTATTGTGTACATCAACACAATTACTGTTCACAGACACTGTGTGCACAATTATAAGGCAAGTGAGTATTTTGACCAAGTCATCATTTGTTTGCATATTGTCCGACTCCAAGCAGTATAAACTTGAATACTTATTGGATTTCAGCATATCAGGTGACGTGTATTTGTGTAATGAGGGGGGGGGGGGGGGGGTGTGACCTAAGGAGATCAACACCCTATAACAAGGTGTGCATAATTATTAGGCAGCATCTGTTCTTCAGGCAAAATGTGCCAAAATAAAAAAGATCTAACTGACTCTGAAAAGTCAAAAACTATAAAAAGTCTAGCAGAGGGATGCAGCACTCTTGAGATTGCTAAGACATTGGGTTGTGGTCATAGAACCATAAAATGTTTGGTTGCAAATAGTCAACAGGGTCGCAAGAAACGTGTTGAGAGAAAAAAAGACACAAATTAAATGTCAAAAATTTGAGAATAAACAAACTGGAAGCTACCAGAAACCCATTACCCTCCAGTGCTGTCTTATTCCAGACCTGCAACCTTCCTGGAGTGCCCAGATGTACAAGGTGTTCAGTGCTCAGACATGGCCATGGTAAGGAAGGCTGGAACCCGATCACCACTGAACAAGACACATAAGTTGAAACATCAAGACTGGGCCAACAAATATCTGAAGACTGATTTTTCAAATGTTTTATGGACTGATGAGATGAGTGACTTGACAGACCAGATGGATGGGCCCGTGCCTGGCTCAGTAAAAGGCACAGAGCTCCACTTGGACTCAGACGCCAGTAAGGTGGAGGTGGGGAACTTGTATAGGATGGTGTTATTAAAGATGAGCTAGTTGGACCTTTTTGGGTTGAAGATGGACTCAAAATCAAATCCCAAACCTACCAATTTTTAGAAGACCTTTTCTTTAAGCAGTGGTACAGGAAAAGGTCTGCATCTTTCAAGACCAGCATATTTATGCAAAACATCACATGCATCGAAGTACTGCGTGGCTAGCCAGTAAAGGCCTTAAAGATGAAAGAATAATCACATGGCCTCCTTCCTCACCTGGCCTACACCCTATTGAGAACTTGTGAGCACTTCTTACACGGGAGATTTATGGTGAAGGAAAACAGTACACCATTCTGAACAGTGTCTGGGAGGCTGTGGTTGCTGCTGCACAAAAAGTTAATCATCAGCAAATCAAGAAACTGACATGAATGGAAGGCTTATGACTGTTATTGAAGATAAGGGTGGATATATTGGTCACTGATTGATTTTTTTTTTTTTTTTTTTTAATGTCACGTGTATTTGTAAATTTTGAGTTGATTGCTTATTCTCACTTTTAACCGATGACAATAAACAAGTGAGATGGGAGAATTTTAGTTTTTCATTTAGTTGCATAATAATTGCGCACACATAGATATTCTCCTAAGAAAGGCAAAACCTCACTTATACTTTCTTAAATATTCAGGTTTGAGGTTTATTAACATTTTGGATTGACCGGAAGCACTGTAGTTGTTCAATGATGAAATTAATCCTCAAAAATGCATCTTGCCTAATATTTGTGCACACAGTGTATGAACACATGGCTGCATTCAATAAAAAAAATAACATTTTATACCAGCTGAATTTGAGCTAAAGTCTGAATGAGTAAAAAAATCTGGCTACCCGATTTAGGAAACAGACTATTGTGGGTTTTACAGATCTTTTAAGGAGCTATGCAGTAGTCTTCTGGTAAGCTTGCTGGAAATTAGAATGTAACCAGATTTTGCTCAAACTACCTAGTTTTTATTACAGCTGCACTACGAGCTTCATACAGAGCACTTTTTAAAGTGTCCCCATAGCCAAAATTTGGATTGTTTTTGAGCTTTTGTCGATGGCATCAATTTGAGACACTTCTGATCTCATTCAGAACTCCTCAACAAGTGCATTTGACCTGCTTCAAGTGGGTTTTGCATTTCTATAGACTGCTTGAAGTAAACAAAAGCAAACTAACTCAGGCCTTTAACCACTTTAACTCCAGAACGGTTTACCCCCTTCATGACCAGGGCATTTTTTTTTTGCTGTTCAGCACTGTGCTACTTTTATTTGGCAATTGCTTGGTTATGCAACACTGCCCAGATGAAATTTTATGTAATTTGTTTCATGCAAATAGAGCTTTTTGTTCTGGTATTTGATCACCACTGGGTGTTTTTTTTTTGTTTTTTTTGTTTTTTTATTATTATATAAACAAAAATTTAGAAAAAAGAAAAAAACAATATTTTCTACTTTTGTTATAAAACCTATTCAATAAAATCAAATTTCTTCATAAATGTAAGCCAAAAATGTATTTTGGTGCATGTCTTTGGTAAAAACCAAACTGCATTTTTGAGAACATTTATACTATTGGGGACACTAGTGTAGATATAATCATGATCAAGATACTCATTTGTACAGACCCTATACTAGTGAAGGCTGTCATAAGCGACTTATAGTGTGGCGAGCAATTTGACATTGGCTGGGAGGGACACTGACATCGCTAGTGACAGTAATACAGTGATCAGTGATAATACTGTACTAATGACACTGGCTGAGTGACAGGATTGATCAGGAGGGCAATCAATGGATTAACTGTGTGCCCTACAAGTGTATGCATGCTGCTTTTACTTACAGATGGGGCTGGGTCTTTTCTTCCATTTCTGAACGGTAACTGATAGCAGTGAGAAATCCAGCCAGAATCTGTGTGTTGTGTTTACAAACACACATATCTCTGTACTGTGATTGGCCACAGCTGATCAGCAAGTGTACAGACAAAACTGTCTGTAACCTGCTGACAAACGCGTCCAATCACAGCACAAACCAGCAGGAGGCGCATGCACACACCTCTAGGTCAGGACATTCACCGTGATGTATGGGGGGAGCCCCCCTCCAGCAGTAAATGTACTGCTGGCGATTGGCAAGCTGTGCCTGAAACTGTAATGTGTTTTTTATTTGTGTAATTTTTGCTAAACTCTAAAAAAAAATACTGTGAAAGAAAAAAAAGATCATAAATACCTCTCCCAAGGCCGGCGCTGCCGATTGCTGGTATAATGAGCAGAAACCACTGCCCTAAGGCTCTTTGGAAGCCTGCACTTTGGGAGTGTGTATACTTTATCCCTCATTGCGCTCACTGGTTGTTGCCACTAACCCCTACATCACAACAGAAACGTTTGGATAAGCACTGGTTGTCCATACATTACTGCATAGACAAGTTAAATTGTATCTTTAATCTTCACAGCAAAGCACAGAGAAGAAGCCTGAAATTTCAGAACCAGAACCTGAGCTTCGCCCCGAAACCCAGCAAGACCAGGTAGAAGCATTGATGAGGGGTGTCGGGGGAAACGGTGCAAGAGGAGAGAAATCCGAGCAACCCTTCATAGTGCTAAGCCAGGATGAATATGGAGAGCACCACTCCTCCATCATGCATTGCAGGTACCAGCTGGCTCTCCGACATGTCAAAAGCTAAATGCAGGCCGAAGAATTCAGTACACAGTTAAAACACATTTAATACATTAATTTTTCTGTACAGCCCCTTTTTCTTTCCTCCCCATGTTATGGCGAGTAAAAAGTAGTGGTGTCACCTACCATCGTGTGAACTAGACATTGATGGACTAGACTCCTGTGTCCAACCTGTGGCCTTTTGGCACCTACTATGCTGCCCTCAGGCCCCTGACGTTATCAGTCTGTTTCCCTTACCTAAGTGCTTAGACCAGTGAAGGAAGATATTATTTAGATTGAGTTCTAGTAGTTAAATAGTTTATTTCACAATATCGTGTTTCTTTGACCTTTTTATAATGGATTTTGCTGAGAGAAATAGCAAACGTGTTACAGGTAATTTTACAGGGGCTGTAGGGAGCACAACTGTGCAAGCACTGTAATAGCTGTGATCTATAGTAGTCTTATGTAGTGTGTCTCCTGGCTATGACTGCCCCCTGGAGCATGTCCCCTATCTCCAACTATAGAATGTTTGCTGTCTCTGACCATCTCTTATTGTACTGGTATCTTTGCAGTTCCTGACAGGTTTCTGTAGCATTATACAGTTGTGCTCAAATGTTTGCATACCCTGGCAGAAATTGTGACATTTTGGCATTGATATTGAAAATATGACTGATCATGCCAAAAAAATTTATTTTATTTAAGAATAGTGATCATATGAAGATTTTTATTATCACATAGTTGTGTGACTCCTTTTTATAACATAATGGTAATTGAAATCACTCAATTGGCCATGATCAAAAGTTTCCATACCCTGGAATTTTTGGCCTTGATACAGACACACAAGGTGACACACACAGGTTAAAATGGCAATTAAAGGTTAATTTCCCACATCTGGGACTTTTCAAATTGCAATTAGTGTCTGTGTAAAAATAGTCAGTGAGTTTGTTAGCTCTCATGTGGATGCACTGAGCAGGCTAGATACTGAGCCATGGGAAGCAGAAAAGAATTGCGTAACAACGTAATGGAACTTTAAAGAGATAAAAAAGGATATAAAAAGATATCCAAAGCTTTGAATATGCCAGTCGGTACTGTTCAATCACTTATTAAGATGTGGAAAATTCTGGGATCTCTTGATACCAAGCCAAGGTCAGGTAGACCAAGAAAGATTGCATCCACAAATGCAATAAGAATTGTTCAGGATACAAAGAAAAACCCACAGGTAACCTCAGGAGAAATACAGGCTGCTCTGGAAAAAGATATTGTGGTTATTAGCCACTTGAAGACCGAGCATTTTCTGGCACTTTTTGTTTACATGTTTAAATCAGTATCTTTTGCTAGAAAATTACTTATAACCCCAAAACATTATATATTTTTCTTAGCAAAGACCCTTGAGAATTAAATGGCTTTCGTTGTAGTTTGTTCAATGTTACATTTCATTTGGCCAGTGGTTTTTCAAATGCATTTTTTTAAAATACACTTTAATAAATTAAAAAACAAACACAATATATACCCAATTTTTTTTGTAAAATATGAAAGCGGATGTTACGGCGAGTAAATAGATACCTAACATGTCACACTTAAAATAAATGTGTACGCTCATGGAATGGCGACAAACTACGGTAGTTAAAAAATCTCCAGAGGCGACTCTTTAAAAATGTTTACAGGTTACCTGTTTAGAGTTACAGAGAAGGTCTAGTGCTAGAATTATTGCTCTAGGTTTAACATTTGCAGCGATACTTCACATGTCTGCTGCAAACACTGTTTACATATGCGTGTGCAATTTACCTATGCGTTCACTTCTGCACGCGAGCACGGAGGGATCGACACGCTTTACTTTTTTAAAATTTATTTTAATTTTTACACTGTTCCTATCATTTGTTTTCATCACTTCTATTCCTATTACAAGGAATGTAAACATCCCTTGTAATAGAAATAAGCATGACAGGTCCTCTTCAAAAAGACCCTTTACCTTTTTTAAAAGCAAAAGAAAAAAATGTTTGATCTTTTGCGTTAAAAAAAAAAAAAAAATGGTTTACATGCACCATGGACCTGAAGTGATGTCATGACACCGACACTGGTCCTCCAAGGCCATAGAGGCGATCAGAGACAATATATTTCGCAAGTGCTCGGGTAAACCTAAGAAACACAGCGAGCGGCACCACTGAAAGCGATCCAGTGGCTGAGTCGCTCAGGCCGTTTTGAACAGAGAGCCAACCACCAGCTGGAAAACAGAGATATCAGGGTTATGGTTGATATCTACAGCCATAACCCTGGGAAACCACTTACTAACCGCAACATATATGTACGTATTGTAGTCGGCAAGTGAGCACAATACGAAGATACTTGGTACAAAAATTTAGCTGCATGGTAATGTTGCCAGAAAGATCTTTTTACTGTGTCAATGCCACAAAAAAGCTTAGTTACAATATGCCCAATGACACCTTGACATGCCTCACCTGGCTTTTTCTTCTGGCAGTTGTGGCTGCAATCTTTCTTGGTCTACCTGAACTTGGCTTGGTATCAAGAGATCTCTGAATTTTCTACTTCTTAAGTGATTGAACAGTACTGATTGACATATTCAAGGTTTTGGATATCTTTTTATATCCTTTTCTGTCTTTATAAAGTTCAGTTACCTTGTTATGCAGGTCTGTTGACAGTTATTTTCTGCTCCCCTTGGCTCAGTTTCTAGCCTGCTCATTGCATCCACGTGAGAGCTAGCAAACTCCTCAACTCTTCACAGACACGAATTGTAATTTAAAAAACCACATATGTTTGAAATTAACCTTTAATTGCCATTTTAACCTGTGTATGCCACCTTGTGTGTCTGTACCAAGGCCAAACATTCCATATGTAAACATTTTGATCAGGGCCATTTAGGTGATTTACTGCTATCATTACAATTTAAAAAGGAGCCAAACAACTATGTGATAATACATGTTTCAAATGATCACTATCCTTATTTTTTTGACATGATCAGTCATGTTTTCATCATCCATGACAAAATGTCATGATTTCTGTCAGGGTATGCCAATTTTTGGGCACAACTGTATATGCTGAATAATATGCACATGGTGATATCAGGGAATGTTGTTATTGTTTTATTATACAGGACTTAAAAAGTAAAGGGAGATGGTACAGCTACAATACAATCAAAACAAGAGGATTAAGAGGACCCTACTGATAAGAGCTTACAATCTAATAGGGTGGTACAAAAGGTTATAACTGTGGGGGATGAGCTGATGAAGATGATAAATGGAATGTTGAAGAATTACACAATTTAGGATCCCACAATCTTGATTTAAAACCCAACCCTGTGCTCCCTCAGAGCCCCCCTCCCCAAGCATCTTTCTTTTCCTTGTGTACTTTTATATTACCTTTTGTGAGATGTCTTCAGGTCAGTCATGCAATGCACAGAGTTCTGTTTATCTCTTCTGGTGATGGGTGGTCCTTGATGTAGATGCTTTCTGCAACATTGTGTGCGATTTCAAGGTGCTTTGCTGATGCCTGTTCAGGGGGCAGGATCATGACTCCATTCACTCACAAGATATCCTTAATCTTTCACTGTTGCATTGTTGCATGCACCATTTTGTCACTAGACGCCCAGCATCATTAAACCCCAAAAACTGCAGAAATTATTGTAGGGGATCGTGCCAGAGATGAGGTGTGTTTAGCAGACATATGCTTTTTTTTCTCCCAAAGTTGGAATTTAATATCTTGCATGTTTCTCTGAAGATGGTACAAAGTGTATTTTTCTGGTATTTTTCAAAACATATTCAAGCTATAGTTAAATAATGGATATGGGCTAAAAGTGCACACTCGCACACTCGCAGGTTTAATTTGAGGGTATGTACATCAAATTGGAGGAAGGGTTTACGAATTACAGCTCTTGAGAGTAGCCATCCCCCCTTTTTTCAAGGGACCAAAAGTAATTGGACAAATGAATATATTCATAAATAAAATGTTAATTTTTTTTATTTTTTTTTGTTGAGAATCCTTTACTGACAATGACTGCCTGAAATCTAGAACCCATGGACATTACCAAAGACTGGGTTTCCTCTTTTCTGATGCTTTGCCAGGCTCTAACTGCAGCTGTCTTCAGTTGTTCTTTGTTTTTGGGTCTTTCTGCCTTTAGTTTTGCCTTCAGCAAGCGAAATGCATGCTCAATTGGGTTGAGATCAGGTGATTGACTCGGTCATTGCAGAATATTCCACTTTTCCTTCAAAAGCTCCTGGGTTGCTTTTGCAGTGTGTTTTGGATTATTGTCCCTCTGTACTGTGAAGCGCCGTCCAATCAGCTTTGCTGCATTTGACTGAATCTGGGCTGACAGTATATCTCTAAACACTCAGAATTCATCCGGCCGCTTCTGTCTTCTGTCACATAATCAATAAACACCAATGACCCAGTGTCACTGGAAGCCATGTATGCCCATGCCATCACACTGCCTCTAGCATGTTTTACAGATGATGTTGTGTCATGAGCTGTTCCAAGCCTTCTCCACACTTTTTTCTTCCCATCATTCTGGTACAGATTAATCTTAGTTTCATCTGTCCAAAGAATGCTTTTCCAGAACTCGTCTGGCTTTTTTAGATTTTTTTTTTTTTTGGCAAAATCTAATCTCGCTTTTCTGTTCTTCAGGCTTATGAATGGTTTGCACCTTGTGGTGAACCCTCTGTATTTGCTCTCGTGAAGTCTTCTTTTGATTGTAGACTGACAATGATATGCCCACCTGCTGGTGGTTGACCTACTCTTGTCTGGATGTTGTTAATGGGTTTTTCTTTACCATAGAGAGGATCCTGCGATCATCCACCACTGTTGTCTTCCGTGGATGTGCCTTTTTATGTTGCTGAGCTCGCCAAGTGCGTTTTTTTTCCTCAGAATGTAGCAAACTTGATTTGGCCACTCCTAATGTTGCTGCTATCTCTCTGATGGATTTGTCTCGTTTTTGAAGTCTTACAATGGTCTGTTTCACTGGCATGGACAATGCCTTTGAATGCATGATGTAGGTTCACAGCAATAGATTCCAAATGCAAATACCACACTTAGAATCAACTCCAGACCTTTTACCTGCCTAATTAATGGAGAAATAACAAAGAAGTAGCCCACACCTGGCCATGAAATGGCTTTTAATTCAATTGTCTAATTAGTTTTGGACCCTTGAAAAAGGGGGATGGCTACTCTTAAGAGCTGCAATTCCTAAACCCTTCCTCCCAGTTTGGATGTACATACCCTCAAATTAAACCTGAGAGTGTGCACTTTCATCCCATATCCATTATATAACTATAGATTGAATATGTTTTGGTCAATACCTGAAAAAAACTAAAATTGTGCCTGTGTCCAAATATATATGGACCTGTGTATATAATTTTTTATTTTTTTTGCTGCAAATTTAAAAACAGTTTCTCCGTTTGATTGAAATGATTCACTCAACTTTACCATAGGAGCCTAATCTTGTCTTGAGAATGTATTCATCAGTGCAGGCTGCATTTCTGCTTTCTGGCTTTTTCATATCACTTAAATAAGTATAGTACATTAGTGATTAATGTACCCAAATGTAATCAACACATTTTCTCATGGCTATACATTTTGTTTACATTAGAAAATTAAGGAAGGTATGTAACAATGTATCCAATAAGAATAAGCCTTTTAACAGTGGCTGCTTGATTATAGCAAAATTTGGCACAATCACATTTTTTTTTTCCTTTTTAATATTGTTTTTTTGAATAGTAATAGTAAGTCTACACACTCTTTTATCAGTGTGATGTTTGGTAAAAAATCTGATTATTACTTGGATTAGCTTGTAGCATGAGGTTTTCTGTAAAATGAACCATACACAAACCATTCCTGTACTTCCTATCCACAGGGTGGATTGCTCAGGAAGACGGGTAGCCAGTTTGGATGTTGATGGTGTGATTAAAGTGTGGTCCATTGATGGTATCATGCAGACCAAGGCATCCGCCATCTCGAAGTCTGCTCTGCTGTCTCTGGAGTGGGCAACAAAGAGAGACAGACTGGTAAGTGTAAGAGTTAAATTGTAAGCCACACTATTAAAGGAGAAGTATGGCCAAAGCTCTTTCAGCTATAGCTCTCCTATGGATCACAGAAGCATACTTGGTTCTGCACTCCTCTCTAATCCCTGAAAACGGAGAACTGAGCAGTCAGCGATCTTTGATCGCTCAGTTCTCGGTGTTGTGCCAGCGGGGAACAGCTACAGCATCAGATTGATGCTGCAGCCATCTAGGTTTCTTATTTAAAGCTTAATTTAATTTTGTTTAAATCCACTAAACAATTTAAAGGTGCAAAAAAGCAAAATGTTACTGTTGTTTTTTTTTCTTTATAAAACAGCCACAGAGTTGAAAAGCTTGTCCTCTGCCACCGTGCTGCAGAGAAAGGATCCTTGGTCCCTGTGTAGAAGCGGAGGTCTGACATGCCCCCTTCTGAGTCAGAGCTAGAGATTTGCGGGTTGACAAAGCTCTAGCTCTGACTCGGCAATGGGCGTGTTTTTTTTACCTCTGCTGAAGAGACCACTAAATCATTTCAGATCTTTTCTTGAGGAAGTAACTTGACTACATAAATTGTAATCTTTGCTGATGTAATTTAAAAGCAATATAACTATTTTTAAATCTGAAGCATTCATTTAAATAATATCCAGTGATCCTGCTATGAAGGTCTGCCACATTTATTATAGGGTGAAAAAACTCTGTCTCCCAGCTGTTCCTCAGTTGTTCTCTCGCATTTTCACCCTGTCATGTGCTCCTTTCATGGAGTCAACAGGCAGCCATGTCAATACGCATTGCACAGGAATGTTCAGCTGTTGTCTCTGTGTGTCATCAGGAAATAAAGCTTGTGAAATTCTGTGCAGCCATTGCTGGGGTTTAGGTAGACCAGCAGTGGGTGTAGCAGATCAGCTGAAAATGGGTATTTCTTAATCATACATCATGAGACGCAGAGGAATTAATATTCTTGACTACTTGGGTTATGCTGCCACCTTCGGTTGAATGGGCACTGGCCAAAAAGACAGGAAGCCCCACCCAGGCAAAACCCTTCCCAGCACAGCTAAGCCTCAGTTTTTAGCAAGTTTCCCTAGGTGATGGATGTGCCTGTGATGTCTCCCTGAAGATTTCATCCCACGCGCTTTATTTTCTGGCCTTTCTTAACAATCCTGATGGAGTAGAAGAGGGTTGCTTCCGGATTGTTCGGTATGGCCTGATGGCCAAGAGGGACTGTACTCAGAGCTCGCAGTCGAGAGATGTAATTTTACCAATTGACACTGGACCCTGCAGCAGTCTCTGGGGTGAAATTTATTCGGCAGGCTCACTGGTAAGGTGTTCTACATGTTCAGGGCACTGGTCTCCTTGGAGGGGAGTCAAGTCCCTGAAGACCCAGCAAAGATTGGGCCTTCTGCATCTGTCACAATGGACTGGCTAGTGCCTCTGATATGATGAAGCTTGTTTAGATCTAAAAGTGAAAGCGCCACACCAAAGTTTAAAAGTCCAAAATGAGATTTTAATTCAAAATATATATTTAGTGCAAAAGCCAATGCGTTTCAGGGGCCACACATTGCCACCTTCATGAGGGCTTAAGGAACTACAAGATCTACTTATATGCAGTTAGCTATAATTTGGATATGGTATGATGTCAAAATATAAATTGGTAATGTTCAGCCGCTGCTGAAATTGGCTGGAAGTTTCTCAAGCCCTTAAAGCAGGGTTCTCCAAACTTTTCAAACAAAGGACCAGTTTACTGTCCTTCGGACATTATAGGGGCCAAATTGTGATCACTGGGGGTAGAAAATTTCCCAGGCCCATTGAGAATAAACATAGCCTCAGGGTAGGTAGTCAGTAGGAGGAGGAGTGCCCCATCATTGCTATTAGTGGAAGGAATAGTACCTCATTGTCGGTGTCAGTGGGAGGAATAGCGCCTCATATCATTGAGAGGAATAGTGCCCCAAAAGTCAGATAAAGGCTAGCAAAGGGCCACAGTTTTGAAACCCCTGCCTTACAGTTTGGGAGAAGTGTATTCTCCTTTCCAGACAATCAAACACAGGGTAATCTGGCAGTTCCTGGAAAGTTTACCAAGATCCTAGAGTTTCTTGGTAGAGGTCATGGAAGCTTCCATATGGCAACTGAGGATGAAAAATCATGTCTGTCCGCATGAGAAGGATCTTATGATTCAAGTGTTGGTCAGTGGAACATCACTGCAACATGCAAATTGGGAGGCTGCTCTTCGAGGGTAAATGCTTATTTGGACCATCCTTGGATGACTTTATCCAGAAGGAGGCTAGGAGTTAAAACATGCTTTTACCCTTTTAAGAAGGAGGTGAAGGTGACGGGTCAGAAACCAATGACGTCTTTTGGAATTCAAGAATAGTTCTTTTCTTAAGCAGAAAGCCACGGCTGTAAGCAAAAACATATTTTCTAGTTCCATACATAAAAAATGGACCTTTTAAAGCCTCCTCATAGTAAAGAGGTGCCCCCACTCATGGCGGTTGGGTGATTTCTATTGGTCTTTGCAGCTACAGTGCCGTAACCTAGGAAAACCACAATTGACTGGGTCCACAGCATTGTGTCCAGAGGCTACAAGCTGGAGTTTTAGTGCATTCCCCTCCACTCTTCATGCACTCAAAGATATTCACCAAAAAGCATTTTCCTTTGCAGCTCTGGAAAGACTGCTGTCTTCAAGCGGTCATTGTACCTGTGCCAGAGCAGGAGAGGTCTTGGCTCCTATTTCAACCTTTTCACAGTTAACAAGCCAAACATATCATCATAAATCTACAAAATAATATAAATTAATATAAATAACTATTAAATAAATATAAAATCTGATCTAATCAGGATCTAATTTGTGCCACATAAACACGTGATAAAAACAACGTGAAATAACAAATGGTCCTTTAATAATGGACCCCGTGTGTGGAAAAAACATCAACCACAACCCCCCAAAAATCCCTAATGGGGATCAGCAAATAAACAGAGACTAGTGCAAAGCAACCGGGAGTCCCCAGAATTGTGGATAAATCAACTAATTCAAAGTGACAAGTGCTAGAATGTACAAAAATATATAAAACACTCAATCAAAGGACTTAAGTGAATGAATATTCCAATACATAAAGTGAAACATAAATCGAACAAATATTCATGAAAGTCCACAAAAGATTTAATGTATAAGACGTGATCCAATAAAAATATATATAACACATGCAGGTGATGAGGTGAATTTGCGTTCATACCAGCGGTGAAATCCTTAAATGGCTAAATTTCCCCCTCACCTCCTTACTATGACCCACTGGGCCAGCGTGCTTTCAGGATCACCCCAAGATCCTTCACAGGCAGTATCTCGTTACTGGATGGTATCCATAAGAAATCCCCCTCAATGGTGGCACTTAGTCATCTCAGGTCCCCTCCAGATAAAGATAAACACAGCACAGCTCAAACTCCCATCCGGATCTTTTATCCAGTAAAACATAAGTCTTTAAACCTCATGCTATGGGTGTACCTTTGCATGAGTTTCAGGTGTGCCAAGATGGCGTCCACGCCGGAAGTGCGTCACCGCGTACCGGAACTATGTCACCGTTCACCTACGGGTTGCATCACGTTCGTTAGGTTAGTTTTAATACTGAACCTTCATAGGTCCGTATTGGTTCCAACTCAACACCTGGAGTACTTGGGTATGCTCCCAGACATGGCAAAGGCACTGCTCCTGCAATAGAAATGCCTGTCCCTTTCCATCCCAGGTGGAGTCCCTGAGATCATCAGAAAGTCCCTTAATTTGGACCTACAATAATGTGCTAAGGAAGATAAAGCCACTTTCGAAGCTGTCCTCTATGGCGCAGTTTTAATCCAGAGCTTTTCAGCTCAATATCATGTCCGTATAAGACAAATGTTAAGAATACTTGGATCTTCCAATGCATCTGGCTCCCAAGACCAGATCAGCTCTGAAATGGTGGCTATCCTGACAAATGCTGGATACAGTGAAATCCTTCTTACGTATGAATTGAAAGGTCTTGACAATGGATCCGAGCATGTGGGGTTCTGGAGACATTCTGGAGAACTTATCGGTTCAGAGAACATGGTCATCAGAGGAGCGAAAGTTGCAATCAGCATTTTGGGACTTCAGGCAATTCAGTTGGCTCTAATAACACTGATCTGACTACCTGTGGACATTGCCACAGCTGTGCCATACATCAAGCAAGGACAGGAAGTTGCACTGCTCAGGAGGAAGTGGATCTAATCTTGTCTTGGGCAAGAATTTCTGGATTCTTTGTGGTCCCAAACAAGGGATCCTCAGGTGTTTGTGGTAGATGCTCTGGTTTCTCCTTTTGATCGGTTTTCCCTGGTCTTTGCCTTCAATCCGCTGCAGCTTCTTGTTTGGCTATTTGTACAAGAAGAACATGGTATGCAGACATTGTAAATCTTTTGGCAGATAAGCTGCAGGCTCTTCCAGATTGGCCAGATTTATTGTCACAGGGTCCAAACTCCCATCCTTCTTTATGGTCACTGATGACATGGCTGTTGAAGCACAAGTCCTGGGGGATTGGGGTGCTCCTGATGTAAAGGCTGGTAATTTTCATCTCCGACACTGTCATGGGGTACAGTTCTGGCTTTTCTCCAGTTTGGCGTGGAGACGTTCTGGCTTTAAAGCAGAACTCCAGTCAAAAATGTTTTTTTTTTTTTTCCACCATGTGGGGCTGTTCCTGCACTGCATGGATCAGCTGCTTGTTTTTTTGGCTCCTCCCCTCCCCTCGAGCAGTGCCCCCAGAGAAAGCCGCTTTCCCTGGGGGCACCGCTGACTTGCTTGCTCCTGAGCCGCTGCTCTGTGTCCATAAGTGAGAGCTGTGGCTCGGCCCCGCCTCTGCTCTTTCCTCCATTGGCTCACTGCCTGTGATTGACAGCAGTGGGAGCCAATGGGCTCACGCTTCTGTCTCAGCCAATAAAGGGGGGGAGTCCCCATACAGCTGGGGCTGTTGTGAACATCGCTGGATCAGAGGGGGTACAGGTAAGTGTTGGGGGAGCTG